AGACAGACAGACAGACAGACAGACAGACAGACAGACAGACAGAGAGAGAGAGAGAGACAGAGAGACAGAGAAGGAGAAAGAACGAAAGGGAGATAGAAAGTGGGGGGGGGAGGAGCAGAGGGGAGGATATTACTAAGATATCTGTACGAGTATGAGATGGAATAGTAGAGAGAGTGAGAGAAAGAGAGATGGATGGATGGGGAAGGAGGGGACTCGAGAGGAGGAGACATGAATTTAATAAAGAAACTGACATAAAACACACAGCAAAAAGATTTGATTGGAAAGGCTGATGACGTCTTGTAATGATATTATATGTGATTGAAAGGTAAGCTGCATAGAACGTTTTTGTGGCCAAAGAGTTTTTGGCTTAAGTCTTAGTCATTTCGCGTGTGAGTGACATGGGAAAGCAATATGTACGTCAAACAAGGAAAAAAAAGAAAGGGGATTAAAATGTATAGAAATCGAAGGGAAACGCGTACGGAGTGTTAATTAATGACTGTGCGTGTATGTGTGTTTGTTTGTTTGAGTTGGTATGAGTGTTTGTGTGTATTTGTTTGTATGTGTGTTTACGTGTACGCCGTTTGTGTGCGTGTATGTGTGTGTGTGTGTGTATGTGTGTGTGTGTGTGTTTGTGTGTGTGTGTGTGTGTGTGTGCGTGCGTGTGTGTGTTTGTGTATGTGTGTGTAAAATAGTTTTCGCCCAGTTCAAAGTGTTGTTGTCACATTATTATCAAAAAATTCATATCGAAATCAATACGCTTTGGTGATGGAAAATATAAAATAACGTTATATTGTGTCTATGTATCAAAATGTGTTTGTGAGTGTGTATTTGTTTCGTAATAATTGTATAAGTTCCTCACGATGTGGGCTTTTTGTTTCTGCACTTTCTGAATACGTGTCATGTCACTTTTGATTACGCACTTGGTACGGTATTTTTTATGACTTGTCTTTTCACACGTGTCACACGTCAGCAATGCAATGTCTCATCTCATCTCCCCTCTCTTTCTCTCTTTCTTTCTCTCTCTCTCTCTCTCTCTTTCTCTCTCTCTCTTTCTCTCTCTCTTTCTCTTTCTCTCTCTCTCTCTCTTTTTCTCTCTCTCTCTCTCTCTCTCTCTCTCTCTCTCTCTCTCTCTCTCTCTCTCTCTTTCTCTTTCTGTTTCTTTCTATGTCTCATTCTCTCTCTTGTTATCTCGTTCTATCTCTCTCTCTCTCTTTCTCTTTCTGTTTCTTTCTATGTCTCATTCTCTCTCTTGTTATCTCGTTCTATCTCTCTCTTCTCTCTCTTCTCCCTTCTCTCTCCCTCCTCTCCATCTCCCCCGCCTCTCTCTCTCTCTCTCTCTCTCTCTCTCTTTCTCTCTCTCTCTCTGTCTCTCTCTCCGTCTCTTTCTTTCTCCGTCTCATTCACTTGTGTGTGTTGTATTCTGTTTGTGTGTGCGTATGTCTGTATGGTTTTATTCACAGCGACAGTGTTTTCATGCCGTCCTTTTATGAGCACAGGTTGTCTGGATGCTGGCAGGCCGTTGGGCTTGGGTGAGAGGATTTCTAAAATTCCCGTCCTTTTTGGGTCGGAACTGAATTAAAGAGTCGTAAAACATAAATGTGTGGGGTGATAGAAAGTAAATAAATAAGCCTTTGTTAATAATAGTTCTTGCGACTTCCTCGTTCCGACTTTCCCCTCCATTCACATGGACGCTCCTAAACGTTTTCAAATGCAATTATGATAGGTCTATAAAAGATTTAAGCATTGTTCTTGATCGTTTGTTTCTATTCAAACATGTATAGTGATTAAACAAGATATTTTTTAGTCTTATTTCTCTTGCTGAAAAGTGAAACATAATATGCTCCTTTTGAAAATGTAGGAAGAAAAATGACTGGTGTCATATTTGATTCTGCCGTAGACACAAAACCTGTTGATGCATGAACACATGGTGTCTTCATATTTAGGCAGTCAAGGTTGAGGGATTAGGTCTTTGAATTACATCTTAGCCGAAGGCATCCTTTGATTGAATCAAGCCCTCCGTTTTTTGTTGGGGGTTTTTTTTGGTTTTTTTAGGGAGGGGGGTTGTTGTTTGTTTTTGTTTTTGTTTTGTTTTTTTGTTTTAGAGTGGAAATTTCCATTAGAGAAATTAGAAGGATAAACATAACCCCAAAAAGACTATGAACATTGCAATGTTGGAAAACAAATTGAACATGCTTTAAGCTTTAATATATGAGATCATAAAGAAATGGAATCAAGTAAAACCCACTCTCTAAAACACATTGTGACCTTGTGGGGTTTAGTGTTTTGTGTGTTTGGGGGGGGGGTCGTTTGTTTTGTTTTGTCTTGTATACAGGTTTTATTATTTTTTTAGTCGCCCCAAAGGAAGAAAAGTTGAAAGTTTTCGGGTCTCCCCACCCCCGAAAAATCCTCTCACCCAAAGTTATAACGAGAGTCTGCGTTCACGATGCATTCTTGTCTCGTCAAAGTCAGTGCTTGTTTGGCTTTTGTCTTTGTACCAATACGCTGTATGACCGCTCTGCTCTTTGACACAGTACTCATGACCACAATCAGTCTGTTTCCTTGTTTTTTCTCACATGTCTATGTTGACTACATGCTTTTACTATAGGTTGTGCAGAGATGACCCCCCTACTACAATACCCCATTGTACTAGCAGAGAACTGGTGTCGTTGCTCTAACTGTCGTGTCGTCATAACTAACACGTCACACACACGCTCTCCCGCCTGCGCTGTCTTCCACTTTGTTGATTGGATCACGCGCTATGTCCGGTCAGTGCCAGGCTTGTCCGGCCGGCCGTCCACATGCTAGCAGCTTGCTACTGTCTTCTCTCTCTCTCTCTCTCTCTCTCTCTCTCTCTCTCTCTCTCTCTCTCTCTCTATTTCTTTCTTTCTTTCTTTGTTTCTCATTCTCGTTTTCTGTATCTTACTCTATCTCTATATGTCTCCCTCTCTCTCTCTTTCTCCTTTTCTTTCTTTCTTCTTTCTTTCTTTCTTTCTTTTTTCTTTCTTTCTTTCTTTCTTTCTCTCTGTCTGCCTCTCTCGTTTTCTCCGCCTCTCTCTGTTTCTCTTTATTTCTATCTCTCGTTCTCTCTCTCTCTCTCTCTCTCTCTCTCTCTCTCTCTCTCTCTCTCTCTCTCTCTCTCTTTCCCTCCCTCTTTCTCTCTCTCCAGCCAACCAAAGGATATGCTCTCTGTGGTCGTATCGATCTCTGTTTTCTTGTGCCGTCGTTGGGACATTGATTGCTGTAGAAGTGGCTGTACGACCAGGAATATCTTGTAAGCTGGTGGGGAGCGGGGCGCGAGATGGGTGGGCTCGGGGGTAAGGAGGATAAAACAAATTTTGATGCGGAGAGGGGGATGTACTGTGAGCTAAAGAGGTTAGGAGACTTAGACCATTGGTGATCAGAAGAAAAACTCAGTGGTATGTGTACGACAAGATTGCATAAAATGTACGTGAGTGGGCTATTTTTAGTCAGAAAAGTACGAAATGACAAGTTTTTAACAAATTTATGGAACCTTTTATGAAAATGAACGAACACATTCATCAGCTCTTGGATTAAGCAGGGGTTTCTTACCGGAGCTGATGTAGAAGTGCTCTGCCCACACCTGGCTGCATGGTAGAAACGGCGTAGTGATCCTTGATGGGCCACAAGGTCTGAAACAAGTTTTCCTAGAGGTTTGCTTTTAAACCTTACTCACAGCACGCTACTGGGACACCCCCTCCCCCTTTTTCCCCCTCCCAAGAACACTCCTTTTCGTTCCTCGTGTCGTGAACACCTTCCCTACCAGTACTAATTTCTAATATAAGCGCTGTTGGAGAGATAAAGACGTTAACTTTACTTAAATTCAGTTTAAATCTTTCAGCTATGGCCTCTAGAACTTAGCTCAGGTTCTGATAAAAATTTTCCTAAATAAGTAGATCTAAGTTTTATATAATAGAGAAAAGGGTATTCAGAAATAATAGGGGATTCAGGAAGTACACATCAAATGTTAGGAACCCCCAGAAAACAACCAAAAGACAGCTTCGAAAAGGGCCGGCAAAAATCTCCCAAGTTGTATTGTTTATCCGCTCATTATCTCAGCTGTTGAGCACGCAATTCAGAGATGAATACATTTTACAGTTTGTCTGTTTTTGTATGTTTATGTGGAAGCGCTCAGTCTGACGGCATGCGGGTTTATGTTTTCTACACTGTCCTCTATTTGAAAACTACAAACTGGCACCAATCTTTTGAAGCCGACTCGTTCCTTTTTTCCTGTTGCGGTGATGTCAGAGAGCTCATTTCCTCTCTGACGTAGCCAAACGTTCTGAAGAGAAGATGGTCAATAACTGAATTTGGTCTTCTCAAAAAAACTATTCTCTTCACTTTTTTTAATAGTTACTTGACATAATCTTTCCAATTTCAGGAGCGCTGTGGCGGACCCATTTTGTTGTCGTGATCTGATAATACTCGTGGATTGTCACCCTTGTTGTATGTCCGTCTGTGTCTATTCTTTCGCCTTCAGATCGCCATCGTAGTTTTAAACTGCGCCTCCCCTCCATCAGGCGGGATATTCGCACTCGAGGGAAATCTTCTGTAGATCGCACGCAGCAGCAGCAGCAACAGCAACAGCAGCAGCAACAGCAACAACAGCAGCAAGGTGATCCGGAGAACCCTCCTTTGCCTGAGGAGAATGTTCCTCTCAACAGCATGGGGCAAGGCAGCGGGGTGGAAGACGTTGCGGGTGCAGGGGAGGGGGGCGCCTATAGTCCACAGTCCCGACTACCTCCAACACACGCGTCTATCAAAGAAGAAGAGGAAGAGGATGATGATACGGATAAGTATTTCGGAGGAAGGAGAGGAGATAGAAGAGGTAGGAGTGAAGTAGATGGAACTGGCGATGAAAAGGCGGAGCAGAAAGAACTGTTACTCTTCCACGACGGGTCAGATGGGAGCCGGGGACAGCCTGATGGTGACGGAGCGACGGCAGATGGCGGTACGCAGAGCCTGGACGGAGCTGGTCTAGGTAAGCAGAGCTTCTGCCTTCAGCATGGCTAGCTGGGCCTCTGTCATCCGCCGCCTCCCCAGCGATAGTTTCCCGGAGTCTCTCGGCGTTTTTCGTGGTTCTCGGTCCGCCTGTGTTTCAGTTCTCCTGCTCTGCGATTCGCACATGTCTCAAACCTGCTGGCACCGTTGTCAGTTGTTCCTCCTTAATAATCAAACAAAAGACAACTAACTTGGTGCCAACACTGATGGACTTGTGTTTGAAATCGTCTCGCTTCGTTCTTGTCCCATTTTTTGCTGCTCCCTCTGTTGGTTTTTCTTTGACTCCCTCCGTACTGTGTCTGTCCACTTTCTATTTCAGTTGCTGCTTTCTGTAGAAGGAACGGATATTTCGCTCTGACTGTTTCGTCAGACCTCTCTATGTCACTACGTTAGGCTCTTCTGAAATGTGCAGTGAATGTCTTCTTTTCTGTTTTGTCTGGCTTTGGTCCTTTTGATTTTTACCATCATCGTTCTTATCTTTGGGTGATGTTCAATATTCTGTTGTCCCGTCGTCCTGTCTATATGCGCGGCGTTGAAAACCTCATTTTGTTTGTAGAAAATTACTTTCATTTTTGTCGATGTGAGATTGTTTTATCTGCTAGTGTTATTATTTTATTATGACGTCAGTGTTGTCAGTTTGCGATGAAACGTTCGAGCTGGTGTACCCTATATTATTGTGAATGCCGATGAACTTGCTGTTCTGTTTTGGTTTTTGTTTTAATGTGATTTTGCAACATGTTACGAGTATTTCGTGTGCCTTCTTTTGCGGGCTTATGCCATGTATACAATGTCTGTTCCCTTAGACGCTCTATGTATTACTTGTTTTTACTGTTCTCTGTTTTGCTCGTAAGTGTTCCCAAGCAAGTTTTGTCAAAGTTGATGATACCTGCAATGAAATCTCGTTCTGTGTTGATTGAAAATGCTGTTATTATAGATTTCTTGTACCATGCTTGTTGAATACGTGAATTGTGTGCAATGTGTTTGTAGGTACGTGTCTTACTTGGTATGGTGCAGGTTTCTTATAGACTGAAATGTGGTGTCTCTTCGTTGGAGAATAGAACAATAGTTGCTGTCAATGGCATTTACTCTAGCTACAACTTGTTACATTTCGTTTGCTTGTCCGGTCAATTGTTGCTTCTCTATGACAGTCAATGCCCGCCCTCTGCCTGTCTCTCTATTCGAGCCCAGTCCTGAACCACCGTTTCAAGCAAATTTTAATCTGCTCATTGATCAGAGTACCTGCTCATTAGCCAACTATCTATCTATCTATCTATCTATCTATCTATCTATCTATCTATCTATCTATCTATCTATCTATCTATCTATCTATCTATCTATCTATCTATCTATCTATCTATCTATCTATCTATCTATCGGGGGTCAGTCCGTCTGTCTGTCTGTCTGTCTGTCTGTCTGTCTGTCTGTCTGTCTGTCTGTCTGTCTGTCTGTCTGTTTGGCTGGCTGGTTGGCTGTCTGGCTGGCTGTCTGGCTGGCTGGCTGTCTGTTTGCTGTATGTATGTCCCCCTCTGTGCGGATACTTGAAAAGAGTTTGCTGCAAGAAAGGGGGGGGGGGAGAAGGAGGGGCAGTGGTTCCATGTAAACAAATATTTCAGCAGAATAGTCTCGTTATAAATTTATTATGGTTTTCGTAGTGTAAGATCTCTTTACCTCTTTCCCGCTCATCTTCCTATCTATATACATCTTTGTAACCCCAACCCACTGTCTCCCTCTTCCTCCCCCCCTCTCTCTTTCTCTCTCTCTCTCTCTCTCTCTCTCTCTCTCTCTCTCTCTCTCTCGCTGTCTCTCCCCTCTCCCTTCTCGCTCTCCCCCCCCCTCTCTCTCTCTCTCTCTCTCTCTCTATCTTCATCTTCTTGGGTTAGAAATATGTAGTCGGGGAGAACAACGGTTTCGTACCAGATCTCCTATACTTTGGACAAATGCCTGATCTCCTTAATCAGTGCACGCTTAAGCATGTGCGAGTGATTGCGAGATAACATAAGACAGACCACACAAAAGAAAAACGCAAACACTTCCCAGATAAAAAGATATGGCACACATCCCAGCTGGAGCCAGCTGTTCTTTTTTTCATTTTTTATTAGGGAAAAGGAGCAGGGGCAGGGGTATATCGACAGAATGTGGTTCAGTATCCTATAATGTATAGTTTGCTAAGTGAACTATTTACGGAATTATCCCAAAAAGTTGGTTCATTACCTGTGATTGCACGGATCTTGTCTGCATGATAAATAGGCCTATAGTATTATTAGTTTGTATTTCTCAGTAGTCCAGACAATGCAAGGAATGATATTTGTGAAGTTTATTATAGTTGAGATTTTTGTGCATCGTGATTTTGTTCTTCCCAATCTGCCGCCGGAAGAGTTATTTTGGATTCCGAATTTAAAAAAGAGTGGGTTCAGATAAGTTCTTTATTTATTATGTCTAGATTGCAGCTCTGGCAGTTCTCTCAGCATCGTGTAGCCGTACGCTGGGAGATATCTACCGAGTCTTATGTTTGCGTCTTTGCTTTTGTTCGTTCAGATGAGGTTGATAATTGCATTTGAACCTCAATTCCGTAAGCAAAGCTTCAATTTAATTGTCATTCTCAACCTCCGTGTACCTCAAAGCAGCGACCGTGAAATGTTCCACCTATCTTTTAACTTGTTGTAGCCATGTTGTTCCTTTAATTATTGTTGTTTCAAAAATAGACACAGGATGAATTTGTGTTAATGAAAACTGACGTCGCACAGGATGCTAGACAGCTGAAAAGGTTCTTGGTTTGGAACGCGCTTCCTGATTTTGGCGCTGATAAACAAGCTGCAGACATAATTATTTCACTTTTCAGTTTAGATGGTGCCAGAGGTTTCCTTCAGATCTTTGAGATATTTTATCGGCAGAAATGAATACCTGGGTAAAAAAAGAAAACGTAAAAAAAAAAGAAAAAGGCCTTTTCCACAAGTACACAGCGTGTTGGTATTTCTTTCTTTCCAAAACTGTTAAGTTGACCAGTTTGGTGCTTTCTGACGCATGCAGGAGACCCGAGTCCAGTTCTCGAGTCGGGAGAAATGTTTATCGGAAATCTGGGTCTCTCTGCTGGGATAATATAGTAGTATCCCTCCCTGCCCTGGTTGGTCCTGACAGGCAGACTCGGAAGCCTGCCTCCTTAATAGTCCAAATTATGTCGATGGGACGTAAAAAAACCCCATCTATTAGGTCAGAAAATTGTATGTACTATCGTGTGATCGCCGTATTCTTCTTTTAGGCTCTGAGAAAATCCATGTGAGCTGCCAGCTGTCCAAGAGCTGTTTCGGTGAACGAAGGGAAGGAAAAATTGTATGCACTGCTTTTCCTCAACTAAACTAGGCAAAAGCGAGAAAAAAAGGTGGAAGGGTTGGGGGAGGGTGTCTATAGCTAGCTGTTTGTGAAGCTAGCTGTTCGTGTGAGGGAAAAAAATCGCTCCAATATGCCATTACACATCGAAGTAAGGGTTATAACCCCTATAGAGTGAAGCACATTTTTTCGATTTTCCTTCCTCCTGCCTTCTGATTTCTAGCGATAGTAACGATTTAAGCCCCATGTAAAAACTGAGTGTTATGAAGCGGGGCTTCTGCTATAACGTCCATCTCCGACAGAAGACCCACGCCTGTGGTGTATCGGTTAGGTGCTTCGCTGTCATACGCAGGAGACCCGAGTTTGATTCACTAATGGGGAGATTTTTAAAAATAATTAGTTACGATGTATCAGTCTCAGTCCGAATTGGCCCTTACTGGCAGAATCGAAGGCCTGTCTAATACATGATTTAACTTGTGTCGCTGGAGGCTTAAAAACACCTTTTTGGGGGGTAAAAATCTGAGAGAAAGGAGCTTATACTTCGCCTAGCAGATACCAGAAGATGCTCCCCATGTTGTACGTTCCGTGTCTGGGATTAAGCAGTCACGTGATTGCTCGCTAATAGCTTGGAGAAGCAGCTCGCCCCCCAGAACACACCCCTGTTTACTCAGCTCACCACCCTCCGCTGTTAGTCTCACATCGATCTTAAGCGGTGCTTAGCCTCGGCAAGCGTTACACAAGATGATTCGATTTAGACCGCGGGCTGAGTGATACCGCTTCAAGCATGTGATTTTGTTTGACGGAACGTTATGGGCAGAAGACCCACTCTCCTGGTATCTATGAAAACTAGTGTACTTTGCCAGCACACAAAAAATGTCACCGCATAATATACGTAACCATCCATCTTCTTCTTCGCGGAGTTGATCGATCTGTTTGCCGATCTAACTGTTATCTGTGAGCTTATCGGAGCGTCCTATTTTATCGGTGTGTTTATACATTGATCTTTCCTTCAAAGACCGTTGTCGTTTGATGTTTCTGTCAGTTTTAATTGTGGTGACAGAAGAATTGTCCGTGTCCTTCGGGCTTGTTTTCCGCGGCACACTTCCCACTATATCCGGTTACGTCTGTTGACATTTGTCTTTGTGTTAGGTGTTGACAAAGGTATTCCTCTCTGGGACACATCCTTGTGGGTTAAGTGCTGTCTGTGCCATAGCTGTTAGGCGCTTCATCGTCGCATGAAGAAGACCCGAGTTCAATTCATGAGTGCGGAGAATATTTAAGATAAGATAAGATAAGATAAGACGACATTTTATTGTCCCAGAGGGAAATTTTTCTTGGCTGTACAGGACCGTAAAATAAAATTTTTAATTTAGGTAAGATAAGATAAGATAAGATAAGATAAGATAAAACAAGACAATACATTATTATCCCAGAAGGAAATGTTTCTGGGCTGTACAGGACCAGTCAAAAAATTGGGGTCTTTCTACTAGGATGCTGTATCCCTTTTAGCATGGGTTTTACCTGACAGGGATGTTCTTAGCCCTCCTGTTAAATGATTAGATTCTGGCAATGGAGATGTAAAAATTCCGACGTTTATAAAATGTTGTGTGCGAAGGACGCCTTAGGTTGAGTAGTCTTCTTAGGTTTTTAATTTGC